TAAGAATAAGACCAAGTGAATCAGGATAATAATTATCAAGTAAATGAATAAGAAATTTAATTTGATGAAAGTGCATATTTTTTGTTTCACAACCAGCCATATCAAAAATAACTGTTACAGATTCAATTGGTGGTTGAAGTAATTTACGATATGTTTCAACACAAAAGACAGTTAATTTTTCACTATATTCATGAGGAAATTGTCCTTTAATATGTTCTTTTGGATGAATACAACAAACTGGTCGTCCCATTTTATCATGACCCATAAAATATGTTTTATTTGTTGAAATTTCATCTTGTGAAATAGCTCTTTCACCTTTTGCAACAAGTTCTTGAACACCCCAATCACGTCTCCATTTCATTGTTTCTATCATTTGATGAACAGAAGCATTAACATCCCATTTTCGAGATCGAAGCCATCTTAGTATTAAAACATCTGGATTATCATAACCCATTGCACGAAATAATTCATCAACATAAACAGAATCAGCAATATGTTTACCAGATAATGAAGTTTCTTTACTTATTGCTTCAATCAATGATCTCCATGTTTTTTTAAGTGCATTTGTATGTGCTCTACCAAGATTATCTAAAGAATAAAATATTTAAATAAAAAAAAGAATATTTTTTATATCGCATTCACTTACTAATATGCCCTAGATCGTTCGATGTCATTGTTTCAGTTTGAAGATGAAATGGATTATCAATCTATATAAAATAGACTTGATTTTTTTCTTTCTAAATAAATGATACTTACTTGTTTGAATGATCTGTATATATATAGGGAGAGTGTTAAGCAGTATTTTTAGTATAAAATAGATATATTATTATTATAAAGTAACAAAAGTTTTTTGAGTCATTCGATGTGATCGATCAGCCATAACGTTGCTCATGACGAAGCAAAAATATCTTTCTGCCTTCTCATCTTCTCTTACATCATCATACTTACATGTGCGTCAGACAAGGACGAACGTATTTAACGTTATAAAGTACTTAAAAATATATATGTATCTAAATATAGAATCAGTTTTTGCTTATAATCTGTCGATTGTTTTCGAGCAATGATATAAAAAATACGATTCAACGAATTAAATATTTATTAAGATAAGTTTTTATAAAAAATATTTTGAAATAATTTATCTATAATATTATTGACTAACTGATTATGATTTCAATGAAATATAGACATCAGATAATATTTTAATAGATGGTAAAATAAATGAACAAATGTATCGGTAATGTTTCTCATCATGTTTTATAAATTCATTCAATAGGTTTTTTTTCTACATATATACTTTAACTATCGCATATCACGTGCTTTTTGAATGAGTCCATTGTCACCCTCAAGTAATTGTAGACGAGCTAAAAGTGGAGCATGTAATGTATCTGTCATATTCGCTTGAATTTCTAAAGTTTGTGCAGTTACAAAACATTTTCGTGCACTTTCTCCATCATTTAATGTCATATAACTTTGTCCTAATTTGATAAGATCGTTTGAAGCATCACGAACAAGACGAACAAGAAGATCTGTTTCATGGTCATACATTTTCATAATTGTTTCATAGTCACGTTCGAGAGCCCATTCAGACATATGTTTGATATGAGTGCAAAATATATAAAAAGAATGAACACGTGTATAATTTAAAACAATTGTAGGAATAATTTCTTTTCCAAGTGTTCCAGATGATATAAATATTATCATTTTATCAGTTTCATTCTGAATCAATGTCAACGCATCATCAATTGTGCTAACAAAATGTATTGGAGCGACATTATTCTCAAAACAACAAATAAGTTCATTGATACCATTCGGTGGCATATTAGCAAGTGGCAGAAGTTGATTTCGAAATTGATCTTTAAGAGCTTGATATTGTCCCATAACTCCAATATGTGTATCTAGCCAGATGTAATAACGACCATTTGCTAAAGCCATTTTTTAGTTAATTCAATAGAAATTAACAAATGAATGACAAAAACTAGAAGTATTTATTAAAGAAGTTTACATCATTCGCCGAAATTTCTCTCATTTTCAATAGAATAAATTATACATATTTTATAATAAGTGATTATGACAGAACAGAAAATTTTCTTTTTCCACGTTCTTTTTAATTTCGAGTGGCAATAAAAAAGAAGCACATAAAAACATGTGGTTTAGTGAGACTTTGATAAAAGTAATACAAAACAGCTCTTTTATATATAAATTTACTTTTCTTATCAGTAAATGTAATTCTTAAGTATTTTTTATTATGATAGATGTCTAACTGAGTAT